GACGTGGTACATTCCCAGACGTTTCGCCGGCATCGTAATCGGCATCGTCAGTGAGTATCGCCATTCTTAGAACCACACAACAACTCGTCAAAGAGACAAGTCTCCACGGTCCTACTCTGGAAACGATGATGCATACAATGAACTCCGGACTAGGTGCGTTTTTTTAAGCGTCCACGGTCCGACTCTGGAAATAATTATGCATACAATGGACTGAGGACAACGTGTGTTTCTATCAATCGGTTTCTATCCACTTTCTGGAAATAATTATGCATACAATGGACTCAGGACAAGGTGCGTTTCTATCAGTCTTACACGGTCCGACTCTGGATATAATTATGCATACAATGGACTCAGGACAAGGTGCGTTTCTATCAGTCTTCCTAACTGGGAATGTACCACGTCCACAGTCCTACTCTGGAAATGATGATGCATACTATGGACTCCGGACTAGGTGTGTTCCTTTAAGTCTTCCTACTACGTCCACGGTCCTACTCTGGAAATGATGATGCATACAATGGACTCCGGACCAGGTGCGTTTCTATAAGTCTTCCTACCAAAAGGAAATGATCATGCATACAATGGACTCCGGACTAGGTGCGTTCCTCTAAGTCTTCCTACCAATTTGACCATGTTGCCAAGGTCAAACAACTTCTATTCAACGAAAGGAGACTGCGACCACACAAAAGGCCACACCATCTTGGTCTTTATTAACTTCTATTCAACGAAAGGAGACTGCGACCACACAAAAGGCCACACCATCTTGGTCTTTATACCTTCGAATAATATTCAAAATATGAAGATAAACTGGGTTTCGATTTATCTCTTGAGATAATATTATTAGGGAAATTTTCAGTTCGCAGGAAAATGAATAAGGAAGAGATTCGTTGGTCGATCTCACCAGATGAGGATGGATGAATCTTGGGTAATTAGATCTTGAGGATCAGAACCTGAGATTAAAACTTTGACAACTCTGATTTAGGAACAGTATTGCATATAGAGGCTAACATGTACAAATGCGCATACTCATACAATCGAGCAAAAATAACAAAGCTAGTATGCAAGAAAATTAACCAAACCGCTCTATATCGATCTATCAAGGTTTTTAATTTTCATTTGCCTCAATTGAGCCCATATAATAAGTAAGATAGAGCCGGATGGTC